AGAACATTTCATATGTATTCAGAAGTGAGATTTTTTCCTAAGAGAAAAAGCAATCCCAAGGTCCTAAGATCCGCCCAAATTTCACAAATGTCCACTCTCTCGCATATGGCCAGCTATTACTGACATAGTATACTAAATATGATTCTAATATGACGATTCTAAGTGCATTCAATTTAAAGTACTATTCCAGAGTCATGACCTTTGGCACAAGAAGCCGAAGAGGCTTTTTACTCTTTTAAAGAATCCTTGTAGAGAACTCCAGCATTAAGTCTCCTTGATAAGCATTGAGTCAATACATTTTTCACAAAGAAACTGTTTAAGGTATGAGCATATGTTCATGTAGTTTATCCTCTCTTGATTTTTCCCTTGGAGTGGACTGTCCACAGGTACAGTTGCCTGCAGTAATTGGGAGGGGCCGCATGCACACTGTGTTTACTGAAGTTGTGCACATGCTCATTTGAGGTGTCTTTCCCTTACTAGTTGAGTGTACCTAGAGGAAGGTCATATACCAGTTAAACTCTGACATTTTGCCCCTTAGTTTACATGCTTGAGCCTGCTCACCCAGCTCCTAGAGATCTTACCGGGAAGTGGCTGATCACCAGCTTCAGGTGTTTTCTATCTATTGGGAGCCCGCCTTTCCCTGGTGCCAGCAGCAACCAATTATTATTTTAAAGAGACAGTTTAACAACCACACGACTGTCACCTGATGGTTACGGTGGGGGGGGTTTCTCTTGCCCTGCTCATGTCTGCCTCGCTACCTACTAAAAAAGACACACAATCACATTTTAATGCTAGCTTAACCGCAATTGTATTATTCTCCGTTTGCCATTGGCTTATACTAAACCCAGCCTCTTTTCTTCTGTTTCAATGGAAGGGAAGTTTCCTGATTTATCATCACTGCCCAGTATTCAAACCAAATATTAACTTCTAAACTTTTTTTTTCAAAATTATGATCTCATATTTATATAGACATGCCCTGACAATGGCATAATGAGAAAAAAAAAAAAAGTTGTTTTGGAATATGCAGTAACACGAGAGTGTAGAAAATATTTTGTTATCTACATGATTGAATTTATAATCTCTGATATTGTTTATGATTATAGACAATGGAGAAAACAATGAGAATCTATCCTCTCAGTAGGTACTAAAATTGTCCATTTATTGATAATCTTTTTATATGTTATACAATTCCTTTATAATATAGCTGTTATAAACTATGTTGCTCTGCAAACATCTTCAGCATGAAAATGTTTGACTCTCACGGCAGCCAAAGTAATGGCCTTTTTCTCTTTCTAGGTTCAACCAGTTGCCTCTGAAAACTCTCTCTCTCTCTTTCTTTTTTTTTTTTTTTTTGAGACACAGTCTTTCTCTGTTGCTCAGACTGGAGTGCAGTGGTGCAATCACGGCTCACTGCAGTCTCCATCTGCTGGGCTCAAGTGATCCTCCCACATCAGCCTCCTGAGTAGCTGAGACCACAGGTGTGCACCACTATGCTTGGCTAATTTTTTTTTTTTTTTTTTTTAACATATGTAGGGACATGGCCCTGCCATGTTGCCCATGTTGGTCACAAATTCCTGAGCTCAAGCGATCTTCCTGCTTTGGCCTCTCAAAGTGCTGGGAATGCAGGCGTGAACCAGTGTATCCAGACTGAAAACTATTTCTGTGTTTGACTTTCTTTAAGATTAGGCCTCAGATTCAGGATTAAACAGAATCAAGCAAACAAACAAGAAAAGCCTTACTGATTAATGGGGTGCCCTTTCTTTCCAAACTTGTTTGAACCCACAATTACTCATCTTGCTTTAGTGGCTCATGGAATAAGAAAGGCAGAATAAAGAGATGACAGTAAAAATAACAGATAGATAGTTCATATGCTTCTAATTCTTCCAAATTGGTCAGTTTTGTTACATTTCCCCCAATTGTCAGGCCTATATTTTAGGATGTCCAGTAAAGACACAACCCATCGTTGTTAGGGTCATTTATAAGTATTAGGTTTGTTTATTCACACATATGAAGAAAAATTGTTCAAATGAAAGTATTTAGGAAATGTTTTACATTTTTTTCAGGTACGTAATGTATTCTTACACTAAACCTGATAAAATTACTCAGGGTGAGGGGGGTAATAAAAAGCTATTTAAGGTCTCTTTATAATATTTGGAATAAACTTGTTTTTTACTAGTAAGAAGAAAATTTAGTTTCCAAGTCATATTGTAAAGGAAGTGTACATAGAAATTCTTTATTCATCCACTAGCACCTCAGTGATATATAGAATTCATACAAGAGATAGACGAAATGTGGAAACATAAGGTTAAAAAAATAACTTTAAAAAAACAAGAATGGTCTAATAACTGACAATTATAAATTATAAACTGTGTTGCTCTCCAAACATCTTCAGGAAAATGTTTGACTCTCACTGCAGCCAAAGTAATGGCCATTTTCTCTTTCTGGGTTCAACCAGCTGCCTCTGAAAACTCTCTCTCTCTCTCTTTTTTCTTTTTCTTTTTTGAGACACAGTCTTTGTGCAGAAACCAGGCTCCAATAATCATATATCTTGCCCTTAGATCCTATAGGCATGAGATACAAAGCCAGTTAGGAAGACAGGAGCCTCCTCCATACGAAATATTATAGACATGACATAATATCTGACTAGAACTCCAGGAGCTCTCATTTACAAGACATTTATGTATTAGATGACTTTTTGCTAAATTTTTGCAAAACATTAATGAAAATTTCCAATGCCCTTTACTTATGATAAAAACATACCACATACAAAACCTGACAAGATATGCTAGATCTACAGTCCAGAAATTAGAAGCACATTATAATTCATCAGAGAACATTTACACTTGACCTCAGTAGGAGGGGCCAAATTAAGTACCACTTAATACCAACACCTCCTTAAGTGTCAGAGTTTCAGTTTTGGATCCATGCTTTCCACTGCAGTTGAAATGAATATGCAAATGCTAAGGATATATGATAGAAACTTCTCTGTCAAAAAAGAAGAGAGTCTATCAGAATATAACCAGTTTTTGCATCTTTTGTCTTAGTGGCTGCGGTCATTGCAACTGGTAGATGCTTCTTCCATGACAGAGACATTGTCATCATATTCTTTCTATGATTATATATGTATAAAAATCACATTATTGTATATTAAAAATCATGCTTATTACTATTGGTTTTGGTACCATGCCTACTCTAGAATAAGTCAAGTAAACCGCCCAACCCCGGGCATTAAGCCAGCAACTATTAAATTTAAATTAACCCTGTCAAAGAATACAGTGCACTCAAGTTTCAATAGTGTATGCTTTTTAAAAGAAGCAGCCACTACAGAAGAATCAACAAAATGACTCTTCTGGATCATGCTTTTACTACAAATTATAGAGCCCTGTCCATGGTGTCAGGCACAACCCAAAGAAATTTCTGAATGGGAATAATACTGATGAACAACTTTTCCAATGTATAGAGCCTATCAAAAAATCAGGGAACTAAAACGTTTATGTAAAATCTTAAAAATGTATTAATAGAAACTGCCAATTGTCAAAATGCAACAAAAAATAGTGGCTATTCAAGCTATGTTTCACAGATCACATGGCTCTAGGTTACTCTAGCTATTAAAGGAGGGTGTACCCTCATTTGAAAGAAAGCTGCACACATATTCTAGATGATTTAAGAGTGTATCCATGACCTGGCTAACTACAACATAATTCATTTTGGTAATTGAGTTCTGAGGTCTGCTAGGAAACTGGGAAGAAAGTTTATACGAGACACACAGATAATTCCATTTGTGCAAGTAGTGCTAATAGAATGTGGCTTCCTTGCACTATTAAATACCCCAAATCTTGCTTCATCTAGACGGCATACTACTTATTCTTCTTCTTGTTCTGTCACCCAGGCTGGGGTGCAGTCATGCAGTCATCGTTCACTACAGCCTTAAACTCCTGGCCTCAAGTGATCCTCCTGCCTCAGCCTCCCAAGTAGCTGAGATTACAGGCATGAACAACCACCGCCAGCTAAGATGACATTAAATACTTTAAATGCATCTAGAAATAAAACGTAGGATTTATGACAAAGGTAACAATGCAGTAATGTGAAGAAAGGATGATAATATTTTTTCACAAAATGATGTAAATGGTGCTATTCGAATTGCATATCCACACAGGAAAAGAATATTGGGCCCACCGATACCTTACAGCATACACAAAACTAAATTTCAGTCAATTGCAGATCTAAATATAAAATCTAAAACTAACAATCTTAGAAGAAAATATAAAAGAATGTGTCAATCACCATGGAGTAGGCAAAGATTTACTAAACAGAACACAAAAAGCATTAGCAACCAAATTTTAAAACTGGAAAAATTGAACTATATTAAAATTCATGCTTGGTGTCAAAAATCACCATTAAGAAAGGGAAATATCAATCAATAGAAAAGGATGATATTCATTACAAATATATCTAACAAAGGACTTATACCCAGAATATATTTTTGATAAAACTCAAAAATTAATGTGAAAAAGACACACAAGTAGAAAAATGAGCAAAAAAAATCTGAGGAGCCATTTACAAAAGAGGATACAGTATGGCTAATAAGCATATAAAGTGCTCAACTTTACTACTCATCAGTGCAATGCAAATACAACCACAGTGGAATAATTCTACCGCTACAAAAGAATGGCTAAAATAGAAACAATGGGGAAATAGCAAATGTTGTTGAGAATGTGGAGCAACCGCTCTGAAAAAGTGGCAGTATTTATAAACGTTGAACATCATTATTCACTGGCCCAGGAATTCTAGTCCTAGATAAATACGCATTTGTTCCAACTAAAGACATGTCTAGAATGTTCAACTACCCTAAGGGTACTATTCCCAAACTGGAAATGACAAAATGGCCAGTAATAGTAGAATTGATAAAAAAAAAAAAAAAAAAGGGACATATTTAGGCAATAGAATATCAAACAAGGAAGACTATAAAGAACCGTCAGCTATACACGAGGTGGCTGAAACTTACAAAGAGTGAGTGAAAAAAACCTGACACAAAAATAATACATGCACTATGATTCCATTTATATAAAGTCTGTCAGAAGTCTAGGTAATCATTATTTTTGGGACGTTGGAAGCAGGTACTGGAAGGGGACAGGAGGGGGGGTTCTGGGATACAATGTTCTTTATTTCCTCTAAGTTCCTGTTATATGGGTTTCTCCAGTTTGTGAAAAATTATTCAGATATACCCAAATCAAAAAGTTAAAACTTAAACAAATAAAAATAATAATTGCAATGGATCACTTTATTTAAAACCAAGGAGGTCACAATGAACTCCTGTCTCCCCACCCCCTAACCCCTGCGCACGCAGACGCACAATGAAGTGAAACCTCATTGGCTGGGATCAGTGACGCACTTCTGAAAGCCGCAGCTTAGCACCATCTTTTCCATCTCCTGCTCGTCTGCCTTCCCGCCATCTGGCCTCCACAAGATTCAGCCCGGTGGTGTTAGCCCCCTGGGCTTGATTCGTGAGGCAAACAGTGTCCCTTAAGGTCGGCAACAGCCTCTTCTGGGTTCACTGCAGTCCAGCCGGCTCCCTACCCGCCGCCATTATGAACATCCGCAACGCTCGGCCAGACGACCTGATGAATATGCAGCACTGCAACCTCCTTTGCCTTCCTGAGAACTACCAGATGAAATACTATTTATATCATGGCCTTTCCTGGCCCCAGCTTTCTTACATCGCTGAGGATGAGGACGGGAAGATTGTGGGCTATGTCCTAGCCAAAATGGAGGAGGACCCAGATGATGTCCCGCATGGCCATATCACCTCACTTGCCGTGAAGCGTTCACACCGGCGCCTCGGCCTGGCCCAGAAGCTGATGGACCAGGCCTCCAGGGCCATGATAGAGAACTTTAACGCCAAATACGTGTCTCTGCATGTCAGGAAGAGTAACCGGGCAGCCTTGCACCTCTATTCTAACACCCTCAACTTTCAGATTAGTGAGGTGGAACCTAAATACTATGCAGATGGGGAAGATGCTTATGCTATGAAGCGGGATCTCTCGCAGATGGCAGATGAGCTGAGACGACAAGTGGACCTGGAGAAGGGAGGGTATGTGGTCCTGGGCTCCAGGGAGAACCAGGAGACCCAGGGCAGCACACTTTGTGGTTCTGAAGAGGCCTGTCAGCAAAAGAACCCGGATACCGAACAAAGTAGCAGTGACAGCAAAGAACCTAAGGAGTCTGTGGAGAGCACCAACGTCCAAGACAGCTCAGAAGGCTCGGATTCCACCTCCTAGAGCATGCTTAAGGTATTCTGTCTTCCCTGACCCAGTACCTCCCTCTCCTAGATCCCTGCCTCCATCCCCCCTTGGCCTGCCCAATTCCATCCTGTCTTATCCCATTCTGACCCTGCGAGGTTTTACGGTAAAATCCACCTGGTGGCCTTAGGGAGAAGTTAGAGTGAGTTGAGGGAGACTCATTGCACGCTGTTGAAAGTGAAATACGATACCAACTCATGCTGAAAGTAGATTAATTTCAATGAAGAAACAAGCATTTATCCCGCTTTCTGGGCAGGAGTTGTATTGCAGGGTAATCACGTAGTTGATGGAAGGCATTTTTTTCTTTATGGAATTCCAGTTAGTAATAATGATAGAAATATAAAATCATCATTTTGCAACTCTTGATGAAATAATGGACCCAGCCAAGAGTCATCAGTGGCTAATAGCGTTAGATAAAAGTTGGAGCACTTTGTAGTGATGGATCAGACTGACAACACTTGAACTCAGTGTAGTCCGTCTTCACTAAATGTGGAGACAAATACTTGTCTCCTTATGCAACAGGAAGTGCACAGTACTACCTATGAAATATTCTTTCCAAAAGAAAATTATGAGATCTAACTACCATTTTACAGAAAATAGAGGGACTTGTTTAATTATACCATGATGCAAACCGTCAAATCCAGAATTAGAGGTTTTTACAAAACAAATGACCTGGTTTCTTCAACAAATAAATGGCACTGAAAAAAAAAAGGATGAAGCATTTTCTATTAAACTTTACAGATACATTAACTAAACTCAACTGTTATGGACATTGTTTGGATACTAATTCAAACCATGTATAAGACATTTTTGAGATAATCAGAATTTGAACAGGGATTGTATTCTAGTAAGGAATTATTAATAATTTTATTAGAGGAGCTAAATGGTATTGTATTATTATGTTTAGAAAGTCCTTATCTGTTAGAGATACATACAGAAATAATTATAGCTGAAAGACTAGGATGCCTTGGATTTCCTTTAAAATAGTCTAGCAAAAAAGAACAAGATTGGAAGAGGGAAAATGAAATAAGAATGGCAGTTATTGTTGGGTTGGGAAATGGGTACTTAGGGGCTTCCTTGTGCCATTTACCCTTTTGAATGTGTGGAAATTAACATGAAAAGTTAAAGAGCCAAAACTTTTTTTTTTTTTTTTTTGAGACAGTGTCTCGCTCTGTCGCCCAGGCCAGAGTGCAGTGGTGCGATCTCGGCTCACTGCAACCTCTGCCTCCTGGGTTCAAGCGATTCTCCTGGCTCAGCCTCCCAAGTAGCTGGGACTCCAGGCGCCCGCCACCTCGCCCGGCTAATTTTTTTTTTTTTTTTTTTTTGAGATGGAGTCTAGCTCTGTCGTCCAGGCTGGAGTGCAGTAGCGCTATCTTGGCTCACTGCAATCTCCACCTCCCGGGTTCACACCATTCTCCTGCCTCAGCCTCTGGTGTAGCTGGGACTACAGGTACCCGCCACCAAGCCCGGCTAATTGTTTGTATTTTTAGTGGAGACAGGGTTTCACTGTGTCTTAGCCAGAATGGTCTCGATCTCCTGACCTCGTGATCCACCCGCCTTGGCCTCCCAAAGTGCTGGGAATACAGGTATGAGCCACCGCGCCCAGCCTAATTTTTGTATTTTTAGTAGAGACGGGGTTTCAGCATATTGGCCAGGCTGGTCTGGAACTCCTGCCCTTGTGATCTCCCCGCCTCAGCCTCCCAAAGTGCTGCGATTACAGACGTGAGCCACCGCGCCCAGCTCTTGTACTTCTTAATACACGCTTATGCTAATACTAAAAAACGACTGAAACTTAAGTTTTAAAGGATTGGTATGTTAGAAACAACTTAATTGTAGTAATATAATACTACAGTATTTCTTCCAGCAAAGAACTTTGTATCACCTTAGGAGTTTCAAGGGTCAGTGAGCTATTGGCAGTTTATAGGCTTTAACATCTTAATCTAGTCACCTTACCCTTACATAGTGTGAAAGGCAGCAACTTTCTCATGGCAAAATCTCGTCATAAATAGTGTATTCTGTATATAATTTCAATGCGTGCTATTTGATTAGTCATTCATAAAAATATTTATTTGTCAGGCATTAGGCTTGGCGCTGAGTATACAGCAGTGATCAGAACAGACTGACGTTTATATAGCATGTAAGAATAAATGGACTTTTTTTTGCATTTTAATGGCAAAACCCAAACTATAGCACACTAATCCCATTTTATTTTCATTCAGTTACAGTTCAATAGGTTATAAAAATTTAGATACAGTAAGTCTTTGGTGATTAGAAAGAATCTGTCCTCAGAGGAGGTTTTGCATTTGACTTTTAATAACCTGAAAGTTTCACAATGACTGATTCATTTGTTCTAATGCTAAAATAAAGGCAGCAGAACAGTCTAAAAGAAAAGATGAAATTAAACAAAACCTGATGCCTTAAGAAAGCGTTGTCAAATTTACACCTGTCTTGAAAACCCTGGAGGGTTCTATCAAGACTCTTTGAATCAACAAACCGGTTTAAAAAAATTTCAACTTTCAAATTCCTTCATAGGACTTACACAGTATTGATCTCATCTTTGTAGTTACTTGCTTCTCTTCAGTGTTAAACTCTAGCTGAGAACAGAGCTAATCAGAGGTGGTTTTAAAACCATGTATGTATATACGTACATCTATAGCCATATATATAAAACCATATATATGTATTATGTACACACACACCTATAAAACTTTGATGAATTCAAAAGCACTTAACATCTGCTATGAGAAACAAAAATAATTGCCACTCTAGTAAAAGAAGAGAGAAATAATAAATAAGAAAATTCATTGTTGTGTCACAGTTATAAATTTCAGCATACAAATTCAAGAATAATTGAACTGTTTCTTTATGATACTGTAATTGAACTTTATTTCTAAGTTGAAGGAAATGTTTCCTGGACTGAACTTCACCCTCTTTCTGAGTTGTTATCTGCTGAGACATATTCAGTGGCCGCATCCAATCTTTGATCTTCAGGATTCACTTCTGGGTCTTTTCCAGCCAGAGGTCTCTTACCATTTTGGTAGCAAGGGTGTATGAGTATTAGTCTGCACAGGCTAACTGGTCTAAAAATTAACTTCCAAGTGTCAGTAACTTAACCCAGTGAAAGCTTATTTGTCACATCATAGTACAATGTGGGTCATCAGTGTGATGGCGATGTGGAGTGGAGGGAAAAGATGGACCCTACTCCATGGAATCATTCAGGGATCCATTTAGAACAGGGATTCTTAATTTTCTGTAGCTCCCTTTGGTAATCTGGTGAAGCAGAAAAATGTTTTTAAAAGATGTAAAAATTACATCAAATTACAAAGGAAAACAATTTTATTGATATACAGTTATCAAACTTTTAAAAATATTTTTGTTGTAATGTATGTGGTTTTTGTTGGCATATTGAATAGCCTAGTAACTATTATTTCAAAGTAAATTTTAATATAAATGATATTTAAGATATCTTAAGTATAATGTGATATGAAAATACCTATGATTTTTATTGGTGACAAAGTCTCAAGTGTTGCTAATACTACTGTGCATTGATTCCTATGTTCATAATTTAAAGAATTGCCAGACTTCAGTTAGAAGTTGATGCAAATTACAGAGTTGTTTTTGTTCCATATCCAAGGTCATGGTTCTCCTACATTTTGTTACATAGATCCCAGGTTAAGAACTCCTAATTCAATGACTCTTGTCATTTTTCTAGAATCATAAGACCTTCAGCTGGTTCATATACATTCAACTAGCAGATGAGAGAAGAGAATGTATATAGTGGTTCATAAAGGTTTTAAAAGTCAAGTCTTACCCAACTAACTGCAGGGGAGGCTATGATATTTAGTTTAGCTTTGTGCTCAGGAAAGAAAAGGAGTTCAGTAACAACACAGCATAGTATCTGCCACAATAGGAAACATCCTAGTGGTGCTCTGGACTATGAGAAGTTTTGCTTTCATGCCTGGTTAGGGGCATGGGATCATACAGCTGCTCTCACTCCATGACATGGCCCAGGGAACTCTGTTAGGCTGTCTGAGGTTGTCTACATAAACGCCTGACATATATTTCTTCTGCTTTTTCACAAACGGGCATGGAAAACGATGGGATTCTGTTATCTTGCTGCCATTATGCCTCTAATTAAAACCTGGAACAAATGACCCCTCTCCTCTGAAGTCCCCCAAACTGTGTAAATCTTCACTTCCATCCCATTTAATGGGGATTCACCAGCACATAGGTCTAGCTCCCTGAATGGGGAAGGGCTACAGTGAAGAAAGAGCAGGAAAAACATTTAAAAGGCTCGTACTGCAAAAGTACTATCCTTCTATAATTGTGGTGCTCCCTCCTGTGGAGCTGGAGTTCAAATACCTATAGAAAAATGTCCTAAAAAATATTTTTCATTTTCTCTCTCTGTACGTTTGGATTTGGGAACAGAGACAGAGTTAGAAGTGGTGCTGAGCAGGACAGTTGGTGAAGAACTGGTTGATTTCATCTGAAAAATGGTAACAAAAATTACTCTTAACCCTATGAAAAGGCACTGTTTTGCACTTATTAATTCTAAGCGCTGTTAATGATGTGTTTCATTTATTCCTCATAATAATCCTGTGAGGTAGGTACTATTACTCCCTTTTGTGGTTAAGGAAATCATATCACAAAGAGGGCTGCATGTTACACAGATAGTAAGTGGAAAACAAGGATGCAAACTCAGGTGGTCAGACTCCATGATTGAGAGGATTAAATGAGTCAATCTGTGTAAATTGCTAAGCACAACTCCTCACACACAGTAAAATAGTCCATAAATTTTAGCTCTTAATATAATCGATAGTAAGAGTAACTTTTCAGGTTCTCCTCTTCTCCACGGTAATCAAATAATAAAATGTTGTGTATGAGCAGCAACAGTTTGCAATCTTGGATGGGAAATGCATCTTAATGATTAAAATAGCTTTCACTGACGAGCTAAATGTCAAAGCATTCAACTGAATCAATGCTTGTCAATGGCAGAGTTTCTAGGGAGCCATAGCAATGAAGACAGGTCAGTTCAAAACATGCTCGTTGAGGCAGGAATGTCATCAAACTGCTCTTTGTCTCCTGACAAGAAATATGTGGTTGATGATTAATAACAAAAATGAAAAAAATGCAAAATCTTAGCGTTTTCAGTTGAGCTGGCAACATTGAGTTAAAGTAAGGTTACTTCAGTGACTCTCCCTTTCTGGTTTATTGTTTGTGTTGCTAAACTGTCATTCTAACAAAAAGTAGTTAAATGTTCACATGAGCATTCACTGAAATAGACTGTTCTTAATTTTACCAGACAACTAATTATAACTGTAATGATATAATGAAATAAGAAACCTATAGACTGACAGGTCTAGTAAATTCCTAGTATAACCTTAACCCAGATATGCCAAAAACCATAGATTTCAAATGCAACTGCACTCTATGAAGATAGAGAGGGGTTTGGGAAGAGATAAAATATTGTTTTGAAATACTAATCAGATAGATGCCATTTGTTGAATTATTTATAATCTCTAACAATGTCACCTTTCAATCAGTGTATGATGACTGAAATGTAGGATGTAGGATGACTGAAATACTAACTTTTTCAGAAGTAACTGATAAAAGCAGAGGTTTTTCCTAAATTTTGTACTCTGTGCTCTAGTATATGAAATCTAATGAGCTTTATGGTACAGGAGGTTAGATAGAATATTTAAAAATTCTTTGAATGGGCAATGATTCAAAGAGCCAGCATAAAAGCCTTTCTGAAAATATTCTACAATGTCATTTCTATAGATAAATATAGTTAGAAAATTATAGGATTTTTTTTAAAGTAAAGCCATAATATTCTCTTTCATGTTTATAACACCATATCGACAAATAGCATGTATTTGTCAGGCTTCCATAGCCCACCTTTAAGAAAACCTGATAATGTAAAACTTTGAACTTAATAAGCTAAGACATTGAGGACTTGGGCTGGGCACAGTGGCTCATGCCTGTAATCCCAGCACTTTTGGAGGCCAAGGTGAGCGCATTACCTGAGGTCAGGAGTTCAAGACCAGCCTTGAAAATATAGCAAGACCTGGTCTGTACAAAAACTAAAAAAAATTAGCCAGCATGGTGGTGTATGGTGGTGAGTGCTTGTAGTCCTAGCTGCTCAGGAGGCTGAGGCTGGTGGATCACTTGTGCCCAGGAGTTTGAGGCTCCTGTGAGCCGTGATTGCACCACTGTGCTCCAGTCTGGGTGACTGAACCAGACCCTGTCTCAAAAAAAGGACTATAACACTAATATTTTAAAGGGAATCCTTATGAAAAATACCTATACTCTTAAACAACAAACTGTCCTATAGCCTTTATTACAGTGTTACTTGACTTCTTCAGTTTTAATTTCTTAAAATTTTCAAGCAGTATTTACTGAGATAACTAAAACAGCTATATAATGTTTTTATATAACTTCTTTTGCATGCCTGTATTAAAACGAAAAAGGCAATGATGATAGTCTTTCTGGCCTATTCTTCCATATCTTGTATCTCTTTTGTTGTAACAAATATACTTTAAAAAATAAGATTTTACATAATATTATCTCTTGCAACTGGCTTCACTTGTTATTCTGGCAACAGAATTTTCTATAACAATGATTCTGTACAAAAATGCTTTTTAACTGCTCTGTGCATAATAGTCAACCTCAATCTCATTTACTTCTGTGCATATGATAGATGGGAAGGTACTCAGTAAATATTTATTGAATGAATGAATGGATCTCTCAAATTATCCATATAATAATTTTTTTAAAGGAGAGAAAAATAATATATGTGTGATACTACTTCCTTTTACCTGATGTAATTAGGGTACTTTAATTTGTGAATAAAGAAACATAATGGTTATTTTGGTTTCCTGTCCAGGTCTCACAGAAAGAAAATATGACTTATAGAGTAGGACACATTGCATCTAACTTATCAAGAGCTAAAAAGGCCTTTCATTTCTTTAGAATTGGAATAAATTTTCTTTGGAGTGGAGTAGGATGGGATAGAATTTAAAGATGACAAGCAAAATTATCTCAGTTTCTTTAGTTTTAAAATAGGTTATTTGGTGGTAAATCCCAGTTTTTTGGTGTTCTTTCCATCCCTTTCTCCTGGCAGAAATGTCCTGTAGATGTCAGGAAAGGTTCATGTGTTCTTAAGGCAGGGAGGAGAGAGAGCCCCAGATCTGTGTGTGGCCTTTGTGCAGTCATCTGAATTCTCACTGACTTCCATGGAGATATATCTAGTCCAAACTAGTTACTGGGTTTCTTTATCTGCTACTTCAGTCTGTCATTAACTAAACTAGTATTCTTTCAGACTTGTCAGAGCTTATAGCTCTCCCTTTCTCGTTTGTTTTCTTCTCATTTTTCAACAGCATTGCAGGTCCTCATGTCTCAACCACATCTACCCTGTGAACCCTGGCTTAGTCTGTCTGCTCTGCAGCATCTGCTGTGGGGATCATCTCACAGTGACCAAAATGGCTTCTTACTCTCAACTCTAAACGACCACCTTTCACGTATCCTGCTGGGATCATGAAGGAATACCTGGACACAAGAGCTGCTGCACAACAGCCAACAAAGTTTGAGACCTGCCATTACAGAACCTTTCTTGGCCTACTCACACCGTGCTGCCGTTTTATTCTGTTTGTAGTAGTCCTCTGTTGGGTGTGGTTATCCTGCAAGTTTTTCTCCTTTTAGAATGATGAACAGGAAGCAGGGCAAACTCTTAAAGCTTTCCAACTTTCAGTTATTTGTTTTTTTTTGTTTTTTTTTTTTAACCATTATTTACCTGGGTTTTCATCCATATTTTTTTGCCATTATTTTACCTGAGTTTTCATCCTTGAGGAGGTGAGGTAGTCAGGACCATGAAGTCAGACCTTATGCCCCCTTCCTCCTCTTTCCTGGAAGAAGTATTCTGTTTCTTTTTCCTTTCTCTGGGAACTCCTCCTTTATACTATTCCCCCACAACCTTTTTTTTTTTTTTTTTTTTTGGGGGGGGCACCCTCCCCGGGGGGAAAAGATTTTAAGTTAGGGGCTTCTACTGTACAATCAGAACTTGGAGATTTTAAGAGAAGGACAAACGGTAATTAAATTGGAATCTCTAATATGCTTGTTTGTGTTAGTTTTTTTGGGATGATGTCACTTGGCATTTATTGAGTATCTGCAGTGTTCACACACAATGCTAGGGCCTTCATTAGTAATATATTTAACCCTTTAACCCTCTCAGCAACCCTGTAAAGTAGGTATTATTATCCCTGTTTTACATATGAGGGAACTGAAGCTCAGAGAAGTGAATTAAATATCCAGGATCTGAACCCAATTCTGTTTGATTTCAAAGCCAAAGTTCCTTCTACTTTCCTGTTCCTACTCTTTGAATTTTATTTATAAATGTGTTAAAATTTTAGCAAAAATGGAGAATCTGCTGTTTAAAAATGTGTTTGCTTAATACATGCCTACTGTATGTCAATTGTGAATATATAACCTACAATTATAATCTACTTTTATTATTTTTCTCTAGTAAAAATAAGTGAAGACAAAGTACTTTGACCTCTGCAATAAAAGTCACCAGATAAATCCAGAGTTATCATTACTTAATGTTGTTTTTATGTTCACTGAATGTGAATTACCAAAGTATATAACATTTTTCATGTTTAAACTTTTATGAAAACTGTTGTGTATGGATTTAAGTCAAAGCCTGGACTTTATCTGGTGACAAGAGGTAAGTCTTTTCTGTGTAATCATCATCAGCCCTGCTAAGCACTTCTTACAAATCTACCCCACTGCACTCTTAAGAATGTCTACCTAATGGTAAATGATTGCCTGAGGCAGATATAAAAGTTTTTCCCTACATGAAAGGATTTGCCATTTCTTGTGCTAATACAGTATGATACAGTCTATCTTTCCATCTTTTCCTTTTTAATTTTCTATCTCCATGCTAAATTATTTTATTCTTTCCTCTCAACCATGTGTTTATCTCTTTATTTTTAAATATTACAACCTTCTAACATCTGTCTCCAGGGCAGCATAATCTTACTGATGAAATATTCCATGTTTTCCTTGAGCTTTTGTCAATATGTCTTTGTGTTAACAGCTTAGCAGATGGAGAAACAGAAGGAGCAGCCTCAGCTTACCTGAATGATTTTTCTCCAGCACCAGGCACATTGACTTGCTGTCTCTAGTAACTTGATAAGAGTTGGAGCAATTTGCAAATGAGAAATGGTATATGACTTCTGCAGTGTTATTTACTAAAATAATTGGCTGCATTTCTTTGTTATCATTATATCTTCTTTCCCAGTCTCATACCAGGAGAAAGCAGAATTATAGCACTGTCTGGTTTGGGCTATCCCTGTTTAGATAATAAAAATAAAATAAACAATAATACTAATAATGCTTTGGGCATAGATTAGCATGTTCATAATGGTTCCAGGATAGTAGTGGTGATTTAGCAGCAGCAGTGGCTTTTTGAAACACAAATTGTGGGAGTGTGTGGCACCATTTTTTTCGTAATAGCATTGTTCTTTTTACACAGGAAAAGAGTTTTTTTTTTTTTTTTTTAATTCTGAATGGACTGACTACTTTTTACTGAAGCACAGTCCTAGAGAGAGCAAAGCAAGGCTTTGAAGCAAGGAGGGAAGATAGTAATGGTGTGAATACCCTGGTACTAGCTATGTTTTATTCACTTGCAGCTTTAAATAAACTGGATGTGCTCAGGTCTGCTAGCAGATTATTTAAAGATAATGATCAGGACGCTAAGTTTTCTTTGGTTAAAAGAAGAAAACTTGGGGATGAAGCCTGTGAGTTCCTAGTTAGAGTCTGTGTGGGGTTTCCCTTTGGAGATAAGAGCAAGAGGCAAGAGATGACCATCTGAAATAAAAATAATGGGGTATGTGGATATATGGGAGAAATGGGGACTAGTAGTGGGAATTAGTCCAAAGCCAGGAACCGGACTGAAACACTGGAAGGAAAGTTTTCTTTATTTTTTTATGTGCAGCTAAGTCATTTGGGTATTATGTTAAAAATGCAGACTCTTTTTCAGTATGTCTGGTGGGGCCTGAGTATCTGCATTTCTAACCAGTTCCTACATTGCTCATGTTGCTGGTCCAGGAACCACACTTTTGACTAGTAAGGGTCTTAAAGCTCATCTCCAACTCTTGGACTGGGGTCCAAAACACCTGTGACTATCCATTAGGTCATTTTATAATGGATTAGACCCTAAATAATTCAGATTCCCCATCTTAAATATACATTTACATAAATCCTATTTGTCTTTGAGATTATGTCTTGATGGCCTAATAATTTCAATAAAAAGTTCGTAAAAAATGTGTACAACAAGAAAGTGTGTGTGTGTGTGTGTGTGTGTATATATATATAATGTATCGATAATCAACATTTTATCTGTTAGGATGCTTTGATATAACAATTTTGCCTCATTGGCTTCTAGGCAAGTGAATGGTGTATGAGATTTTTTAAAAATTTCACTTCTAACTCTCACTCAATTTATTGTGTTCATTGGTTGATAAATTAGCTCAGACACAAATTGTTTTCCATGCTGACATTTGACAGGATTTGAAAAAGACTACTGAGTTTTTTTTTTTAATTTTAAGCAGTAGCAGACCTGTGTGTGGGTTCAGGTGGTCTAATAGAGATTTTCCATCCAGGGATAAGAATTTCTAGCCCATTGTTTCTCAAAGTGTAGTTCATATGCTTATTTATTCAGAATCACCTGGGTGCTATGTTAAAAATGCAGTTTCTTTGTCTCTGGCTCAGACTTACAAAATCAGTCCTGTATTTTTAACAACCCTGCAGGTGATTGTTTTGCACACTGTCATCTGAAAATCACTGATCGGTACAAGGCATTGAATTCTTCATAAAGGTAATATGAAGGGAACTTTTTTCCATGGTAATACTCTCCAGACAAATTAATTCATCAAAAGAAGCAAATCAGAGCAGATACAACAAATTTTTGTTTATTATAAAACATGGGAAAGGGTGAGTTGGTATATGGTAACTCTGCTCACTTTCTGTAAACTTAAAACTGTTCTAAAAATAATTTATAAATTAAAAATATTTTTAAAGTACATAAATGTGAATATTTGACACACATTCTTCCATAAATATTTTACAGAAATGTGAGATCATGTGTGTGATTTTTTAGGGCATTTTTGGTCATTATTTCCTCCTCATCCTTTCTTTTCAAGCAAACCATAGCTACAACTTGGCAATGGCGGTAGACAGCAAAAGCCTGAAGTATGAGAACATTCACAAATGACACCATGAAATTTGTCCCCATTTGTTTCCGGAACAGAAATCTCAAATACTGCAGTGTCTTATTAGGAACCGGACACCTAGCATGTCTGGAACCACATGTCCTTCCATGCATGTCATTAGCTTCTCATATCCCATCACCATCTGGGCATCTTGAGTTAGAACTTTTAAGAACACAGTACCCAGCCAAAATCCAATGAAACAGACTAAGTGACTTATCAAGATCCTTTTTCATATTAATACTTTTTCCTAGACATGAATGCTTCTTTTGAAATCTAGAAAGACACAGATCATTTCCTTGAGGTGCACTTGAAGGGTTATTTAAACACCATGTTTCCTTATTAGGGCATGGGAATTACATTTTGTGAAGTTCTGGGGAAAATTTTTTTTTTTCATTTTAAATCATACATATATTGCTTTCCTACCTAAAATTAAGATAGATTTCACACCTTTGAAATGTTGTCATCTCCTCAACTGCATTTTATGGAAGCTTACCTAGAGAACACAGTCCTTAGCAAGTTGAGCGATTTTCACAAGTGGTGGTTCAATAGAGTGAGAAATCACAGTGTGGAGTCCAACAGCTGAAATTTTAGTCCTAGTTTGGCTTATTACCACCTGGATGTCCTCTGGCACATCAGTTTTCTCATTTACAAAATAGAGATAAAAACTTTTGTGCTTTTAGGGTTATTGTGTAATGAGTTAGTGTAAAAAAACAACTGCATTGTAATTTGTAAAAAGAAAAATGTTACTGTGAACATGTTTAGTTTTTAGACATTTTTACCCCTCAACTTAAACTGGTATAGAGTAACAGTAATCTTTTTTTTTGTTTCCTCTGTAATGGTCCAGGAAAGAACCAGTGTTTCAGAGAATTTATCATCAAACAATAACTGTGTCAAGCAATGACAAATACATGCATGTATGTGGATATTTTAAGGGATAAAATACGGAGAAGGTGAATTCCTGTAAACATAGCAAGCCAACTTTCTATACAATCATTTAAAAAGAAAAGATTCAATAAAAGTTATCTTTGACTCTCTATGACCTAAGCATTCATATGTAATACATTTTTCATGTAAAGCAAACTGTACTTAATCTCCTATTTACATGGTTTTGAATAAAAGAAATTCACACACACACACACACAGTGACCAAAATTTTTACATATTCAAAAACTGTAGTAAACTGGCTGGGCCTGGTGCCTCATGCCTGTAATCCCAACTAATCAGGAGGTGATGTGGGAGGATCCCTTGAGGCCAGGTGTTTGAGATCAGCTGGGGCAGCTAAGCAAGACCCCAACTCTTTTTTGTTTTATGAGATGGAGTCTCGCTCTGCCACACCCAGGCTGGAGTCCAGTGGCACAGTCTCGGCTCACTGCAACCTCCACCTCCCAGGTTAATTCTGCCTCAACCTCCCGAGTAGCTGGATAGCTGGAACTACAGGCGTGTGCCACGACGCCTGGCTAATTTTTGTATTTTTAGTAGAGATGGGGTTTCACCATGTTGGTCAGGCTGGTCTCAAACTCCCAACCTCAGGTGATCTGGCTTTGGCCTCCCAAAGTGCTGGGATTACAGGCATGAGCCACCGTGCCCGGCCAAGACCCCCAACTCATAAATAAAGAAAACATTAGTAAACCATGATAACACATTAGGGCAAGCATCTGGCTGGTTTTTCATTACCAGAACTCTAAAGAGTGTTAAGTCTCATAGTCTGGCTT